AAAAAAAAAAAAATTTGATTGAGACCTGACACCAATCTTCAAGACACCTTGGTTAAATTGTGTTTCCCTAATAAAATCTCCACGCAGAGGGAAAGCAGCACCTTTCTTAGTGCGTTTTGGGCCCTGAGCAAACTCATGCCTGTGAGGTAACTGAACTCCACCCTGTCCAGAGACCCCTGTTCCTTCCAGAAGAAGAAAATGAATTAATGACCTTCTTTTAGGACCCCCCGCAGGTGAAATGTACCCCTTTGTTAGGGGCTGTCCCGTCTATCTGTGGAGGAGCCAATTTCTATATTTCTTTCTTGGCAGCTTTGTTTCTTTTCCAGAATAAACTTCTACTGTATTTTAATCTAAAATTAATCCACTTTTGATTTTCATCTATACTTCCTTCCAATTTTCTCTCTCTTCTTTTGAGACAGGGTCTATCTTCTTCTCTTTTAATTAAAGGTTTTGTCTAAGAATTCACATTGTTGCCAAATTTTTAATTTCTGTTATGGCCAAAGCAAGAACGCTTGCTAGCCGTGGATGAGACGCTCAGCCACATAGTCACCCCGACTGCGCCTCATCATCCACGAATTCAGTAACATTAAATAATACAAATAATATAACTTGTGCAAAATTCCCAGCATAGCACCAGACACAGGAATGGCTCAGTCCTTTTTTTTGGTCTATCTATGTAGTGGACGTTGGCCTCGAACTCATGGCGATCCTCCTGCCTCAGCCTTCCAAGTGCTGGGATTACAGGCATGCACCACCAAACTAAAGCCCACAGCACCGGTTATTCCCAGGTGGTCTCCCATCTAAGTACTAACCAGGCCCCCAGGCCCGACCTGCTAGGTTCCAGGATCACGTGAACTCGGGTGTGTTCAGGGTAGTATGGCTGTAGAGTCAATCCTTAAACTAATTGTTATTAATTTTAGATTCTGAGTCTTTGCTGCATCGTTCTGGGTGATTCATTGTACAATTCGACAACTCATCCACTTACACCTTTTGAGACCCTGTTACTGTTTGTGTCCGCATGTCCCCCCAAAGCCTCATGCAGTCATGGGGCAGGCTTCTGTTCTAGATTTTTGATTGATCCATGGCCCAATGCTGGGATTATGGATGTGAGAGCTACACCCGCCCTGGGGCAGGTAGTTTGCCTATGACATAAGGGAGGGAAAGAGGCTGCTTGCCTCTGGTCCTCCCTTTTGCTCTTGTTGCTTTGCTGTCTTCCCCCTCATGCACAGTTGCCCTCTGCCATGTACCACTCTGCCTTGGAGCCAGCTGAGTATGGACTAACACCTCCACAGACTGTGAGCTAAATCAACCTTTCCTTCCCTAATCTGGACGTCAGGTGTCTTGTCTCAGCAACAAGAGAAAAGTAACCAAGACACTCCCTCGTGTGCGTCTTTTCTCTGTGTGGGCCAGACGCTCCCTCACCGGCCCTGTGAGAGGATTCCTGCACACGGACAGCAGCTGTGGCCCCTCTCCAGCCTCCCTCCCTGAGCAAGAGCCAGCTAGCACGCAGTAGCGTCGGTGGACTCTCTCGGCTGAGGCACAACGTTACCAGGTAGCTCCTTCTAACAGTGGCTCACTGGTTAAGGGTTCTGGGTTGCGGGTTGCTGGTCTCTCCCTCGGGAGTTAGATCCCAGGTTCCTCTTGTCCCGAACAAAGAATTGAATGAAAGCAGAAAAAGCAGTGGCACAGTTTCTTCGAAAAAGTGCAAGAATGAAGAGTGAGATAAACTGGCTCCGCAGGGTGAGCTGGGGCGGAGTAAAGGAGAAGGCGAGATAGAAGCGCATCCTGGAGGCGGGCCGGGCGAGAGTCACATTGCAAGTTCTCGGTGTCTGCGTCCTTCTCCGCTGCCCAGACCTCGCGTCCACACCGGGGTCCTGCGGGCAGTGCTGGGACCCCTCACCTCAGGCTGACATCGGGCCTAGGCCGTGCCATTCAAAGCCTGCTCCACTTTGGTTGACCAGTATTGCATGTCTATATCTGTTTTCATGAGAAGCCACTTTGAAGATATCAATATGTAATACAACCACCATTGTTAATTCCCTACCACTTTGTTTGTAACTCTGTATTGTCTGTATTGTGCTTGTGATATGTTGTAAAATGTTGTATGTCTGTTAATGTTTCCCTCCTTTTATCTTTAAAATAAAAAAAAAAAAACAAAACAACAAAGCCTGCTCCAGTTCCACCAGGCGTCCAGGTGCAGGGCTTCGGGAACCGTTCTGAGCGTCTTCGGGATCTTTGTTTTTTGGGTTTTTTTTTCTGGGATCTTTGTAACTGACAGGTCACGCCTACTTCCCCAGCCAGTCTGGCCACCCCCTAATCTGTGTTCGTACTGATCTGATCCAATCTTTCACCTGTCAGTAAACAAACCACCCATGGTTCCCCAGGGCTCTCAGCTCAGGACCACGGTTTGCCTTAAGACCCTCTTGGCTCACAACCAACTCCTGCCATACCTTGTTTTGTTTCTTTCCAGGTCACTGCTTTGTTTTGTTTTGTTTTGTTTTGTTTTGATTCCTGTTTTGGAGACAGGGTCTTGCTATGTACTTCAGGCCAGCCTGGAACCACTGTGTAACGCAGGTTGGCCTTGAACTTGTGGTGATCCTCCTGCTTCAGCCTTCTGAGTGCGTACTGGGATTTGGGATCACAGCCGCAGCTGCACGCCACCACGCCTGGCCCCAGGTCACTGTAAATTAGGGCCCTCGAATGAGAAAGTGGCGAGGAGGAGAGACAGGGACTTGTGGGCCAGATTCTCTGGTTTACCTTTGTTTATTTGTGCCTTGCCTCCAGCTTGCTAGCCAAGCACTCCAGGGCTGAGCTACTGCACCTGCAGCCAGAGCTCTCCAGGTTACTTGGAGGACTCGTGCTGCATTTCCCTATCTATCCATCCACCTATCATCTATCGTCTAATTGCAGTGTCTAGTACTGGCAATTACTAGACACTGGCTGGAGCACAGCAGAGACTCAACAACTATTTGCTAACCCAAAAATGTAGAGGGAAGAAAGAAAAAAGATTTGGCATGTTACATACTTGCCAGGCATGTAGCTGCTGGACCTACACAGGAAGACCTTGTCTCAAAAACACCAAAAACAGCCGGGCGTGGTGGCGCATGCCTGTAATCCCAGCATTGGGCAGTCTGAGGCAGGCGGATCACTGGGAGTTTGAGACCAGCCTGGGCTACAAAGTGAGTTTAAAGCCAGCCTGAACTGCATAGTGAGACCCTGTCTCAAACAAAATAAAATAAAAAATAAAAAAACACCAGAAAAAAAAAACCACATGCTATGTACTTGTACTAACCCCCCAAAATGAATGTAATCAGTATATTCTACAGACCTGTACTAATAAATTCAGTAAATCACCCTCAATCTACTCTAGCAGACTGTGATGAGTCCCATACACAAAATCATCTTACTGTGAATCCCTGGGATGAGTCTCTGTCACATCTCCTCAGGGACAAAAATAACTTCTACTTGGAAGTTTAAGGAATCCTGAAAGTGATTTATTTATTTGGAGAGAGGACTTCGCTTCAGGCTAGTCTGGAACTTTCACCTACCTTTCTGCCTCAGCCTCCTGAGTGCTAGGTTCATAGGCGGATACCACCACACCCAGCTTATTTTTAAATATCGAGGGTTGAAATCAGAGCTTTGGCACAGAGCTACATCCCCAACCCTGTAATCCAGTTTTGTTTTGGTTTGGTCTTCGTTTTGCTTTTTTGAGACAGGGATTTGCTGTGTAGCCCAGGCTGCCCTTGAACTCATGGCAATCCTCCTGCCTCAGCCTCCCTAGTGCTGGGATCACAGGCGTGCTCCACAGCGAGACCCTGTCTCAAAAATACCAAAAAACAACAACAAAAAACAAATTCAAGGCTCAGAAAGGTTAAGTAATCTGTCCAACATCACACATCACACAGTAAGTGACAGAGCTGGAACTTAAACCCAGTCTGGCTCCTGAAAATGTTTCCTACAGCTGTTCTACAGCCACATAGAGCAGGCATTCCAGTCTTTACGCAAATGAATAACCAACCAGAACCTGGTTTGATGAAGTCGTTCATTTATTTATTCAGCAGTCACCTAAAATTCTCTTATGTGCTCGGGTTTCACCCCCAGCACTGCAAAATAAAAAAATTCTCCTGTGTGTCAAATGTCAAAAGAAAAGAAGAAAACGCTTTTTGTTCTTTGCAGTATCTTCAAGTTGCACTAGCTCATAGGAAATAGAAGAGAACAGGCTGGAGGCAGAACAGACCGTGGGGAGGAAAATACGGGGCTGAGCGTGTTCAGCGGCAGCAGAAACCAGCTCATGGGTCCTTCTCTGCACCTTCCGGCTGCACGGCCTGGTGGGTCCGTCTGGCCCGCTTGGCGCCCTGCGGGTCTCCAGGCGGGGAGCTCTTCCTGGCTGAAAGAGTCCTGAGCGAACGCAAGCTCTGGGCCTGCTGCAGGCGCCGGGCGAGCTCGTGGGCGCAGGCCTGCTGAGCCTCCACCGTCTTCTGTACATCCCAGTTCAAAGCAGCGGCCAGTGCTCGGGGGTCCTCCTCGGCCACCAACTGCAGCAAGACCAAGAGCACTGAGCAGAGCCGCCTCGCCTCGCGGCTCTTGGGGCGTGAGACGAGGCGACGGCCCGTGGTGCCGCCTTTGCTCCCCTCCCTGGCTTCCTCCCCGGACAAGCGAGTGGCTTTTCTCACCACTCAGCCACAGGAGGTTCAGCCGAGCTCGGGTGAACACAACTTCCTTCCCTCCAGAACTACAGGGAGGTATCCGGGAGGGACACCGACTGGATAAGCAGCAGCGCCCCCGCCCGGCTCCCCTGTCAAGCTGCCTGCCGGCCACAGCCCAGGAGGGTCCCCGCAGGCCGCCGCCCCCGCGCTGCTGTGCAGGCCTCAGGGGTGGCCGCAGAGCCGCTTTCTTTTCTCCGAGACAGGGTCTCACGATGTAGCTGAGGCTGCCCTGGACTCCCTGCGAGGACAGAGGCGCCCCCCACGCCTGCCAGTGGATCTTCTCGGACCCTGCCCACCGGAGGCCGCCTGGAAACCTGAGCCCGCTCCTCCTCCCTCCAGAGCCACCCTGGGGCAGGAAATAACAACGATGGGGGCGCCCATTCTCTTTTTAAAGTCCCTTTGGTTTAGAGCAAGCGCGCATTTGCGATCGCTGTGGCAGGGAGCAGCAAGCTAGCAGCTAGAAGTCCGGCTCTGCAGGGGCGAAAGGACACCCCACCCGGCCTCTGCGGCCTGCTGCATCTCCAGGGAGGCCGCTCTGCAGCTCAGCATCCCGCGTCCTCGCCCACCTCCAAATCCCGGGCGGACAAGCTCAGCTCGGGAGCCGGCTTCTCCCGCAGCACCGAGAGGATCTGGCTGGGAAGTGTGATCTGGGAGGCGCGCTCTCCGCGGATGCCCGTGCCCACGGCGTCCACCTCTTCCCCGAGGGCAGCTCTGGACTCTGCAGAGCGGATGTGAGAGAGAGGTCAGCGAGCGCCTAAGCAGACAGCCCGCGCTGGGGAGACAGGAAGGCACCCCCAGGAAGCGGCCGCCCTGCAGTCAGGGGCCTCTCCCTAGGGTGGCAGCGTGCCCCCACCTCCGAGGAGCCCTCGGGGCGCCCTACCTTCCTGCCTTGACAGGACGCTGCCCTCCCTGTCCAGCGCGCGGAGGTACAGCTGCAGGAGCTGCCTGGACTGCCGGGCCTCCTCCCGCTCGTCAAGCACCCGCTGCAGCGTGTCCTGGAGCCGCTGGGCGGCGGCGCAGCTCTGGCCGAGCTCCTGAGCCAGGTCCTCACAGGGCGCATCGCTGAGCACCTAACGCACACACGCGGGCGCTGAGGACCAGAGCACTTCCGGACACGCCCCCCACACCGGTGGCTTTAGCTTTCCCCCGGCACCCAGGGGGCTGGCGGAGGCTCGAGAGGGACGCCCGACTTTTCGGTCTCCTAGTGTGGAAATGGGGACATGATGAAAAACGATTCCTTGGTGCCTCACCGGGACCAAATCCAAACCCTAACAGCTACTGATTTATTTAGTGGTGCTGTGGACTGAACGCAGGGCTTTCATTTTTAGCTATAGTCCCCGCTTTTTCAAATTTTTTTGGCTGGGCATGATGGCTCATGCCTGTAATCCCAGCACTGAGGAGGCTGAGGCAGGAGGATCCTTGCGAGTTCGAGATCAGCCTGGGCTACAAAGTGAGCTCAAGGCCAGCCTGAACTGCATAGCGAGACCTTATCTCAAAAAGACCCCAAAAAAAGTAAATTTTTTTTACTTTGAGACAAGGTCTTACTATGTTGCTACGTTGCCCGGGCTGGAACCTGCAATCCTCCTGCCTCAGCCTCCTGCATAGCTGGGATGACAGGAGTGTGCCACCACGCCTGGCTGTTATTTTCTCTGTGGCCTCTGTCTCTGCCTCCCTTCAGTGTCTCCCAGGCTCACAGCCTCCATTCTTTTGTAGAGCCGAAGGACAGTTAAGAGTTCCTGTTTACCACATTTTCCTGACCTGGTCATTGTTTACAGATATTGGGGTTCACTTTACCTCTTGGATTATGAGCCATGTGAAAATATTCATGTCATTCAGGCAGGGTCTTGCAATATCATTCAGGCTGTCCTCGAATTTTCAGCCATCCTCCTGCCTCAGCCTCCCTGTGCCGGGATGACAGGTGGGCACCCGGGTCCCTTTCCTGCTGTCTGGCTCCCTTCTTCATCAGAACACTAGAGCCTGGCTCGTCCACTCCCACGGGGCAGGGCACAGAACTATGCCAGGCGCAGGGCAGGGGTTGAGTCAACGCCTCTGAATGAAAACATACCCTTTTTATCCTAATTTTGCCGGAGAGGACATAAGTGTAAGCAGAGAAGCTAAGATACTGCCTCAAACTCCCAACAACAGAACTGGGATTCGAACCAACCACTCCAAACCCGCATTTGCTAGCAGCAAGCCCCTCGCCCTGGAGCTCGCTGGGGCCTGGACACCTGCATTTAAGAAAAAAAACCCACGGGTAATTCTGATGCACAGTGGGGGCTGAAAAAGGAGCGCAAAATGAAGACTGAGTTGCAATGTAAGAAGTATTTAAAAACAAAGCTGGGCCTGGTGGTGCGGCCTATAATCCCAGCACCCTGGGAGGCTGAAGCAGGCCGACTGCAAGTTTGAGCCCAGCCTGGGCAAACTAGCAAGACTTAGCTAGACAGTCTCAAAATATAAAATTAAAGAAAGAAAAAAAGAGGGGCTGGGATGTAGCTCAGTGGTAAGGCTCTGGGTTCAATCTCCAGTACCATCACCCAAACAAACCATCAAACAAACAAAAATTGCTGATTATTCATCTGGCATGTACAAGGCCCTGGGTCTCATACCCAGCAAAGCATGGGGCAGGGGCGGGGGGCAGCTTGGTGCTGGCACATTAGGAATTAGGAATTGAGAAAGAAAAGGAGAGCCTGGCATGGTAGTACCTGCCGCCTGTAATCCTAGCACACAGGAGGCTGAGGCAGGAGGAGGACTGCTGTGAGTTCAAGGCCAGCCTGCGTTACACAGGGAGTTGAATGCCAGCCTAAACTACATGGCGAGAGCCTGTCTCAAAAAGAAAAAAAAAAAGAAAGAAAAAAAGAAAGGAAAAAAAAGAAAAGAAAAAAGAAAAAGAAATCGAAAATAGTAGTGTGGTGGTACACACTTAAGAAGAGCATGAACTGGAGCAATTTAGTCCCTGACTCAAAATGAGAAAAATAGGGGCTGGGGATTTAGCTCAGCGGCACAGCGCCTATCTGGCAAGTGCGAGGTCATGAGTTCGATTTCCGGTACCGGGGGAAAAAAAAAAAACAGCAAAATCTTTGTAGGGGTTTTTGTTAGGTCTGGGGATACAGCTCAGTGGCATAAGTGCCTGCTTGGCAAGCACAAGGTCACAAGTTCGATCCCCAGTACCGATAAAAAAAAAAGAGAAAAACAGAAGAACCGAGGACATAGCTCAGTGAATAGGCTCAGGTTCAATCCCCAGTGCTGCAAAGGAAAACAGAAACCATGGGATTCCCATGCTAAGAGGTGTGGACGCTGAGCAGGCGCTGGGCCCGCGGGGCTGGGCAGGCGGGAGTACAGGGTGTGTGGGGGGGGCTTACCTGGAGTTCCTCCTCTGACAGCAGGAGGATGCTGGACAGATCTCCCTTCAGCGGTCTGGCCACGTTCTTCCACTTCACCCCTGCCCCGCTGTCTGTTTCGTCTACTTCGAAGGACTCCTGGGAAAGCCAAGCTGTGCCTCCGTCTGCAATCCGGGAGGAAACCCCAGGCTCAGAGTGACTGCCAGTGCTGCGTCCACCTCCACCCCGCAGGCTCCAGGACAGCTGCGTCCTTCCGACCCCTCAGGACCACTGCAAGGGGAAGGGCACCTTCTCTCAAGGGATCCCAGGGCAGCCAGGCCCCACCCAGGACCGTCACGTTCCCTCTTCCTCCACTTTCAATGCACTCTGTTCTAGGCAGAGAGCCCACGTAACCCCACATGTGGTCATGGGCGGGCCCAGGGTCCTACCAGACCCCTTTCCATTCATTTTTTGTGTATCTGGGTATGTTCTGGTTTTTGTTCGTTTGCTTGTTTTTCTGAGATAAGGTCTTGCTATGTAGTTCAGGCTGGCCTCACAGTGATCCTCCTGCCTCAGCCTCCGAAGTGCTGGGATCACAGGTGTGTACCACATCACCTGGTATATGTTGTTTTTGTAAATGAAAACATTCATTCTCACCAGCACTTTTCCTGTGTGTGGGGACTGTTCCCATTTTTAACTGGAACAATCCATCACTTCGTCCCTTGGACTCAAAGACAAAGGTGGCTTGTACAGCCATTGCTGAAGGGTGACTTTCTCAATCTAGGAACACACAGATTTTCTTCGAGACACTTTTTTTTTTTTGAGGCAAGGTCTTGCTTTGTAGTTCAGGCTCAACTTGAACTCTCTCTGTAGTCTAGACTGGCCCTGAACTCATGGTGATCCTCCTGCCTCAGCCTCCCGAGTGCTGCACTTACAGGTGTACGCCACCATGCCTGGCTCTGGAGACACTTCTTTAGCTCTTTCATCCTTGCACCAGTATTATTCCCCTCCAGTGCTGATGACACAGTGAGAAGGTAATATTTATCGAGCCCTCACTGTGTCATTATCATATTTAGGTGTGTCATTATCATATTTCAATATGATAATGTTTGGAGACATTCCTGGTTGTCATAGTTGGGTCAGCATCTAGCGAGAACAGGCCAGGGATGTTGCTAAATGTCACACCACACACAAAGCAGCCTCTCTACCATAGAATTCTCTAGCCCAAAATATCAGTCATACTGCTGAGAGACTCTGGTTTGACATGAGCTGTATCACCCTCACAGGGACCCTAGGAGACAGGTACTGTAACTATTACGACACTAAGGCACTGAGACGTTAGGTCAGTTGCCCGGACTTACTAACTGGTTAGTGAACGGCAGGGCCAGACTCAGGCCCCGGTAGCTTGACTCCAGGTGGTCACACGGACCTCTCTGGCGTGGCGCATTTTAGTTGCTGTCAGACTTACGTCTCTTTGATCTTTACCCCCAGGACTTAGCACCATGTCTGGCAGACAGAAGGTTTTCAGGTAAACACTCACTGCGCAAATGTTTAAACAGCCAAACAGCAAGCAGTTGCTGCGCGGTAAGATTAACCACGGCGGACGCTGTACATGTGGCCATTTTCTTACCTGAATTGCTGTACGTCCACTTCTCATTACTGGCCAAGGCCACAAACTTAGTATTGGAAGGGAGACACAGGAAGTAATCCTCATCATCCACTATGGTGCCGTCCTCCGCCAGGACCAGGGTGACCGGTGTCAGGGACTTGTCAATGGCCAGAATGTCACAAGCTGAGAAGAGGAAAATATTTGGCAACTGACAAGATCCACAAGGAAATCACACCTCCCCTAGTGCTCTTGATATTCAAGCCCCTGGACCTGAGAATTCCTGATAGATAATAACAATCACAGTAACAATTGCAGCTCTAAGCACTAATGTAACCTTATGTACGGGATACTATTTTGTACCGGATACTATTTTTTTTTTTTTTAAGGAAGGAAAGGTTTACTTAGCTTACAGTTTGTAGTGATTTCAGTCCATAACTGGCTGGCTCCAAGGCAGGGCGGCACATAGCAGGGAGGTGCTTGGTACTATTTTAAGTGCTTTTCATATACTGTATTAATTCTATGAGATAGGCCCTGCTTTTATTCCCATTTTACACACAACAAATTCAAGGCTCAGGCCTGGCATGGTGGTGCACGCCTGTAATCCCAGCACTCGGGAGGCTGAGGCAGGAGGATCCTTGCGAGTTCAAGACCAGCCTGGGCTACAAAGTGTGCTCAAGGTCAGCCTCAACTGCACAGCCAGACCCTGTCTCAAAAATACCAAAAAACCCCAAAAAACAAATTCAAGGCTTAGAAAGGTTAAGTAATCTGTCCAACATCACACAGTAAGTGACAGAGCTGGGACTTAAACCCAGTCTGGCTCCTGAAAATGTGTTTCCTACAGCTATTCTACAGCCACATAGAGCAGGCATTCCAGTCTTTATGCGAATGAATAACCAACCAGAACCTGGTCTGATGAAGTCGTTCATTTATTTATTCAGCAGTCACCTAAAATTCTCCTATGTGCTCGGGTTTCACCCCCGGCACTGCAAAATAAAAATTCTCCTGTGTGTCAAATGTCAAAAGAAAAGAAGAAAGAAAACGCTTTTTGTTCTTTGCAGTATCTTCCTTTAAGTTACACTAGCTTATAGGAAATAGAAGAGAACCAGAAGCTTGTACCATTAGATTTTTATTTTGATTCTCCTTGGCAAGAGGCTTTCTCCAGGGTGGGTTTGTACATTTCACTGAAAGACGGCCATGCCTTAAAATGCTAATGGGACTGCACTTAAGAAGTAAGTCAAGCGACTACAAATACTTCCTGGCAGTGCTATCACCCAAAACAGAAGGGCGGGCCTCTTAAAGCCCAGCTGCAGAGAACAGAAGTCTGTGCCAAGGACACGGAGCCAGGGCACCAAGTGGCACTCAAATGGAGGTGACCTAATGCCAGGCTCAAATGTGTAAACCCCGATGTGCTTGGGCATTCCTGGGTGCCACGTCCTCTGTCAGACAGTTGGGGCTGGGTCCCCCTGCCACATCGAATACACTGTTGGGAGCCGCTGAAGCTGGAAAGTCATTACACGCGCAGGCTGAAGCCACCCTGACCACGGGAGCTCCTCCGAGTAAACACGCCCTTGCAACTCGTTAACTGGGAGCTGCGCAGCGAGGGGGCAATCAACCAACCTCCCGTGGGTATCAACAAACACTCTGCTGTTTTTGCGCAGTTCTCCTACTCCGCTAGGCGAGAGCACCTCCACCTGACCCCGGCTCTGTGTCTTGTCTTTGTTTTTCTCACACTCTCCGCCGTTTCTCTCCGGGGTACAGGAGAGACCAGGGAGGCTCGCTACAGACGATTCGGGCTGCCTCACACAAACCAGCGGCGCGTCTCTGGATACATGATCCGGCGCTCCGGCTCGTAAAGCCTGTAAATCATCCGGGCGTCGTGGCGCACGCCTGTCATCCCTGCACTCGGGAGGCTGAGGCAGGAGGATCGCTGCACGTTCGAGACCAGCCTGGGCTACATAAGTGAGCTCCAGGCCAGCCTGAACTGCACAGCGAGACCCTGTCTCAAAAAAAGCGAAGTCTGTGAACCAACTGAACGCTCTTGGGCAGCGGGGCTGGGAGCGGCCCCCTCGCCGAGGAGGAAGCCGGGGGCTCGGGGTCGGGGACGCGGGCCCCGCCCCCCCGCGGGCCCCGCCTCACCCTTGCTCCGCAGCTCTTCCAGGGAAGACGCCGCCACGCCGTGCTGCTCGCGGGCGTGGTTGCGGCGCAACAGACAAGCCTTCAGAGGCCGGGTCGGGCCGGGCTCCGCGGCACCGGGGTCGCCCGTCGCCGCCATACCCTTCTAGGCGACACCCGAGCGACTCGGAGCCCGCTGCCTGCCGGGAGAGGCCGTTCTCGTGGCAGCCAATCACGCGAGAGACCTGGGGACGTCGGGAGTTGTAGTTCTAATGGCTATTACGCCCCTGAGGCCCCGGGGAATGACGGGAGCTGTAGTCTCTGTTCAGCTGCTACTTTAGCCTGCGGGAAGACAGCCAAAGAGCAGCTTTCTTTTTTTGTTGTTGTTGTTGTTCTTTTTTTTCTTTTTTGTTATTGTTTTTGGGTAGTGATGCGGGTCCTATGCATGGTAAGCATGCGGTCTGCTACTGAGCTACACCCCAGTCCTGTTTAATCGAATGTTTAAAATGAAGTCAGTAGGGGATTTACTTTGCGTTTCAAAGTATACATCCTTGCCCGGCGCGGTGGCGCACGCCTGTAATGCCAGCACTTGGGAGGCTGAGGCAGGAGGATTGTTGTGTGTTCGAGACCAGCCTGGGCTACAAAGTGAGCTCAAGGCCAGCCTGAACTTCATAGCGAGACCCTGTCTCAAAAAGACCAAAAAAAAAAAAAAAAAAAGTATACATCCTTCTGTGCATAAGTAGATGCATAATACTAATACTTAAATAAAAGTCTGCCGCTGTAGAATGTTCATTGGTTTTCCCCTTTCCAACCTGCAAAGATCTGGGAACTTACCCAACCTATAGGCTGAATTTTAAAAACTGAAGTGTGCCGGTTTCCAGAGTTGCTGAAGATGTAACAAAATAGCATAAGAAAGAAGAGGGGCTGGGGATGTAGCTCAGTGACATAAGCGCCTACCTGGCAAGAGCAAGGTAGAAAGTTTGATTTCTGGTACCGGAAAAAAAAAAAAAAAAAAAGAAAGGGAAAGAAAAAGTGGCCTAAGATTTTCCATTTTTGTGAAGAAGGACATTCTTTGATTAGAATGCATCAAGGACACAATGATTTGTTTATTATTTGTTAGAGTTTCTTAAGATAAGGCTTCATTATACAGCCCGGATTAGCCTTGAGTTTATGATCCTCCTGTCTCAGCCTCTTGAGTGCTGGGATTACATGCGTGTGTTGGATTACATGTGGAAAAGGATAATCCTCTAATTATCCTTGCTAAAACGTTTGGTGTCCGTCCATTTGTACTAGCTACGCCCTTGGTTCTCGCTCAATAAAAGGTAACTGAGATTGGTAATCAGGGCTGAAGTCCTAGAGGCTGTGAGCCCCCTGACCCTAGACTTTTGCCTCTCTTGTTTTTCTTGTCTCTCTTACTTTTTCTTTTCATCCTCTGGCACCTCGTTCTCCGGACCTGACACCCAGAATACAATGACGCATTTTATTCACTGCCACACTGCTGCAAATTGCGTTAGGGCCTTGGAATAAAATCTTAAATACATAAATAGGCTGTTAAATACAATTTCAATGCTAAGTGTGGTGGCACACATCTGTAATCCCAGCACGTGGGAGGCTGAGGCAGGAGAATTGCTGAGAGTTCAAAGCCAGCCTGGGTTACATAGTGAGTTCAAGGCCAGCCTAAAATACATAGTACAAGACCCTTCCTCAACAAAACAAAATATTTCAGGAGGTCACTGCTTTAGGCTAAGTTCTGCACTAGGCCCCTAGATTTTTTTTTTTTTTTTTTTTTTTTGTCTGTTTGAGACAGGGTCTCACTATGCAGTTCAGGCTGGCCTCAAACTCGCAATGATCCTGCTGCCTCAGCCTCCCAAGTGCTGGGATTAAAGGCGTGTGCCACCACGCCCAGTTTAGACCCCTAGATTTGATTAAAAATCATGATGGAAGCCAGGTGTCCACCCACTTAGGAGGCTGAGGCAGGAGGATCACAAGTTAGAGGTCAGCCTGAACTACATAGAGAGACCCTGTCTCAAAAAACCAAATTAAAAAAAAAAAAAATCAAGATGAGAGGTGGTGTGTAGCTTACTGGGAGAGCATATGCCTAGTATGTGGGAAGCCCTGAGTTCCATGTCCTTTACACACACTCAGAAAAGGAATCATTTATGCTAAAGTTCCATATCATCACCAAGATGAAACTAAGCTGTTTATTTGAACTTCTGAAAATCATGGAGAGGTAACAGCCAAATTTCTCAAACTGGCCACTTTCAATGATTGTGAAGGCCCCCGTGCTTCAGTTATTTCACTAAGAGGTAACATGAAGACCAGCCAGTTAGTTTTCTGTTGTCCTATCTCCCTGTCTTTGTCGTAAGAGGGGAGAGGTGGGCGTGACAGCACACACCTGTGATCCCAGCTCCCTGGGAGGCTGAGGCAGGAGGATTGAAAGTTCAAGCCCAGGCTGGACAATTTAGCAATTTAGACAGACCCTGCCTTTTAACAAAACAAACAAAAGGCTGAGCATGTAGCTCAGTGTGAGGTCCTGGGTTCAGTCCACATATCACAAACGAACAAAAAGCAACTGTGGGTGAGGAGGTAAGATATTTAGTAAGAGGAATGAAGGCAGTCCGTCTGTGCTCTACTCCTTATCCTTGATTAGGGCAAAGGACAGTTTTGATATACGCTAATAGTCACGATGTTCCTATCACAGTGTTTCATCTTTAGTGTAAAATCTAAGAGCTGCCTGTAATCCCAGCACTCAGGAGGCTGAGGCAGGAGGATTGTTGTGAGTTTGAGACCATCCTGGGCTACAAAGTGAGTTCAAGGCCAGCCTGAGCTACATATCGAGACCCTGTCTCAAAAAAGACAAAAAAAAAAATAAAAAATCTAAGAGCTTGCCCAGCACAAGCGAGGCCCTGGGTTTGATCACTAGCACCGCAAAAACAAAACAAACAAAACAAAGGGACTGCAGATTTAGCTCAACAGCACAGCGCCTGCCTGGCAAGCGCAAGGTCGTGAATTCGATTACCGATTCCCAGTACCAGAAAAAAACTGAGAAAAGACCAAACCAAACCAAAACAAAACAAAGACAAAACAATTCAAGCATTATAATTCCGTAATAGTTCACAGAAGCCTCTTCTCCCAAGGGCCACGCGTCTGTGTAGGAGACTGTAGCTAACGTCCACTGTATATTAGTAGCCGTCTTAAGCATTAAGTTTCTGTTATCCTGACTACTTCTCCAAAGAGACGCACCTTTCCCTTTAAGTCAGGACTGCCCACCGTTACCTAGCTACTCCCGCCCTTGTCGGGTTACTTGGTTACTCCCGCCTTAAGAACTTCCGTATTTCCCTGCGCCCTATATATTCGCAACACTCCCCGCCAATAAAAGAGGCTTGATCAGAATCCTGTTTGCCTCCATTCTTCGTGTCTCTTGTCCCTTTATAATCCCCACTCCCCCTCTAGGGTCCTCGTTGACTATACCCGCGGGTCGGGTCACGTCTGTGCTCTCCCAGCAGACCTTTCCACAGTAAGCAGTGCTGTAACCGTGCTGGTCCTGGCTGGTGAGCAGGGGCCGGGTTTTGGATCTTTTTATCTCTAGAGCCTACCAAGGTAAGCAAAGAGCAGGCACTCACTCAGGAGAATTACAATGAATGGCTAAAAACCGATTTCCAAGTTTCTTCGCATTCATTCACTTACTGAATACTTAGATCATAAATGTGCACACTGCACTCTAGGACGACAGAGATTTAATTCAAGATTCATAACACTCCTATAGCAATCAAAGAAGTGAGCGGAATGACTCCTTTCAGTGAAGACTCCTTCGGATTTCCTTGTAAGGCACCCCACCGTCTTGGTGCTCCCCTAAATAACCCACTTATTAAAAGTTGTTTCTCCATGTATTCCATGCTGGGGCTGGGGATGTAGCTCAGTGGCAAAGCGCCTGCCTGGCAAGCGCAAGGTCGTGAGTTCGATTCCTGGTACCAGAAGAAAAACCAAACAAACAAAACACCAAACATTTAGTCCATACTTTATGTCTTTTAATAGAATTTTAAAATTTGCATCATAAAGACCTTGTACATTGTTAAGTTAATTTCTATATAACACATTAAAAGTTTATTTTCAACTGTATTTTCATGATAGATGTAACTGATTTAGAGAAATAGTATATATATTATACCATATCATTATCAACATGTCTTTTTTTCCACTTTGATTTCTCTCAGCTTAAGACTTTGCGGAACATAAACAAGACAGGTGGCAGTGGATATATTTGCCCTCACTCTTCATTTTGTCTTCTTCCAGACTTTATTGAGAATATTTCTAAAGTATAATCATTACATACGTTTGCTGTGGAATTCTCACAGATGCCCTTCCATACATATTGGTAATTATATCATTTATATATTTTTCTTGAACACAAAAATATGTCTCAGACTTCTTTATCTTTTCTCAAAGTATGAGAATGTATGAGAAGCCATAATCAAAGCTTAATATTCTCAGACTTGTCTTTTGGGGAGGGGTGTTAAGACGGTCTTGGTATATAGTTCAGGCTGATCTTGAACTCACTATGTACCACGGGCTAGCCTCAAACTCACATCAATCCCCCTGCCTCAGCCTCCCAAGTGCTGGGACTGCAGGCATATGCCACCATACCTGGCAAGACTGGTTATTTTCCCAAGAAGTATAATACAAAAATAATTGAGAGTTACTAACAAAAAGGAATGAAAAAAACTAGGTATTGTGGTACACACTTGTAATCCCAACTACTTGGAATGCTGAAGCAGGATGATAAAACCTGGACAATTTAGCAATACTTTGTCTCAGAAGAAAAAAAAACAAAAACAGAAACAACTATTTCTCATTCTGGGTTCCTATTAAGAGGCTAGCCTTGTCTAGATGTGTCAGGCAAACATAATAACCACTACACTACAGAAACACGTGCCTTGTCGAGATGTGTATCATACTTCTTAGCTAAAAATCATGCTTCTACCTCCTTTTTTTGGTTTGTTTCTTGGTCTTTTTTGAAACAGGGTCTCGCTATGCAGTTCAGGCTGGCCTTAAGCTCACTTTGTAGCCCAGGCTGGTCTATACTTATCTATCTATAGTTTCACAAATGACTAAATGCTCAAGATTGAGTTTTTATTTCTTTCATATTTCACAATCTATTACATCATGCAAGTACCATGACCTCATGTCTGTATAGCTATAAAGGTTAAAAAACAAAACAAAACCAATAAAGATTTCCTTTAAAGTTTTAGTAACTTATGTAAAAATTCAAGCATAATTGTTGGGAATACCGAATCAAGATTTCTGGGTAATATTCGTCACTTTACAAATGTTACTTTGGGGGATTGGGGATTTAGCTCAGCGGCACAGCATCTGCCTGGCAAGTACAAGGTCATGAGTTCGATTCCCAGTACTGGAAAAAACAAAACAAAACAAAACAAATGTTACTTTGTTATTAATGAATATGGTTGTCCAGAGACATGCACCCAGGTTCCAAATTTATTTAGAAATAGTGTAGCAAATTGACAAAAATTAATGGGATTTTTGAAGTATGCTATTATCAAAATTGAAACAAAAATAAAAGAGGGCTCAATAACCATGACTCATAATCTTTTATGGAAAGAATAAACATACTAGTACAATCCAAAAGGTAGCATTATCCAGCAAAAATATAATGCTGGCTGTAATATGCAATATTGAGATTTCTAGCAAAGCACAGCAAAAAGAAAAGTTATAAATAGGTGTTATTCTTAAGCTTTTTTGGTGGGGGAGGGTAGGGGAATCAAGCTCAGAACCTTGCACTTGCCAGGCAGGGACAGTGCCACTGAGCTATTTCCTGGGCTCCTAAATAGGTATTATTAAATAATATATTTAATTTGACCTAATATAGCAAAAATAGTATTTTAGTATGGAACTAATATAAAAGTTATCAGTGAAATGTTTTACATTTCCTGTTTTCGTGATGCGTCTTTAAAATCTGCTGCATCCTGTACAGCGTATCTCATTTCAGACTACCTTCATTTCGGGTGATCAAAAATCACATGTGGCTAGTGGCTTCCACACTGAACAGAATAATTCTAAATTATCCATAGTAAAAATTTTGTCCAAAGCCACAAAGATTGCATGGATGCTCTGCATGCTCTACATATACAATAAATAATATTAAACAGAGGAATTAATAAAATGAGTGAGGCAACACAAAATCCTGAAGCAGTGAAAGTAGTATAGCATGAGCATATAAATGAAAAAAATCAGCAATGAAACAAAAAGAATTTGAGGGGCTGGGGCTATAGCTCAGTGGCATAAGCGCCTGCCTGGCAAGCACAAGGTCGTGAGTTCGATCCCCGGTACGGCAAAAAAAAAAAAAAAAAAAAAAAAAAGAATTTGAATCTATGTGGAGTTCTTTACATCAAGCATTCCTGGCCTGCAATGTTATTAGCATAATTTTTAAATTATAGAAACAGAACTCTATGCACAAGGCTCTTGGAGTGGGGTAGGTACCGGCTACTCTACAATGATTGGGAGGTCATGGCTAGAGGAGCCAGTGAAATATAACCACGTGTCACTACCTTAAGTACCAATTTTCTACCAATGGGGAAAAAACTATCTAATCCACTAGGACATACCCCTATGCACAAAACCGAAGCACAAAAGCTGACCCCCAAAGCACAGAGTAATGCAAGACCTGCAGCTGACCAAACAGCCTACCCAAAACTCGATTTGCCAGTACAGCAAAGGAAGTGAAAAAATAGCAGGGCCAGGGAAGCATCTAACATATCTCTTCTGCCCTGTTATTTCTACTTCCCAGGATGACAAGACCTTTGTGAGCACCAGTACTTGGGAGGCTGAAGCAGGAGGAGCGCTGTGAATTTGAGGCCAGCCTAGGCTACAAAGTGAGTTCCAGGCCAGCCTGGATTACATAGTGAGACCCTGTCTCAAAAAATAAATAAATAGCTCACGCAGGACTCAAACTTCCTGAGTGGCTGGAATTACACACATGTGCTACCATGCTCAGCGATTTGGTCATTTTTGAGCAGATAAGTTTGTTGCTGTATTGAGTACATACAAATACAAATGTTTTAAATACATTTTCCTTAAATTATTGTTTAGTTGACGATTATAATAATTTTCAAGTAAACATATTCAAATACAAAAGCTAAGCTTTCTTATCCTTTGACAAAGCCTTGCATTGAAGTATTCCAAACCAAAATGTTTCCAATGTGAAAATAACGTACGCATGATCTCTATACACACCTGGAAGTAGAGCGAAGTTAAAGTTTTCTTCTTTTTTGGTGCGGGGAGGGCCGGGGAAATTTTCCTGTGCTGAACCATTTTTGGACTTCAGAAATGAAGGTTTTTGCTGCTGCTGTTGTTGATTTGTTGTCCTGGGGCTCAAGCCCAGTGTCTCCTACATGCGAGGGAAGCAGTTTTGGCCCTAGACAAGACGTGAAGAATTTCGAAAGGTGAAAATATTTCAGCATTTGGAACTCAGACTTTTAATATTTAATAATAATTTTTTTTATTTTAAAGAGTAAAAGAAGGATAACATAATAATAGGGGGGGCTTACCAAATTACAGACAAAGTGGTAGGAAATTATCAATGGTTATTGTTTTACATATTGTTATCTACAAGATCATTTCTCAGGAAAACAAATAGACACATAATAGTGAGTTACAGACAAAAGAGGTAGGAGATTATCAATAGTTTTTGTACTATACTTAGGTATCTTCAAAGTGGCTTCTAAAGAAAATAAATAGAGCTATACATGAGTGACTGATTGAATAATCATTAACTAAAATGTCCTTTTGTTTTGTTTTGTTTTGTTTTGTTTTGTTTTGTTTTTCCAGTACCAGGAATTGAACTCATGACCTTGTGCTTGCCAGGCAGGCACTATGCTGCTGAGCTAAATCCCCAGCCCCCAGACTTTTAATAATATTTGAAATTTGCTCAGGTTGCTTTCTCTTTCAGCTTGTCTGGAAGGGTAAATATAAGCAGGAATGTCTGATTTGAAAATATCCTTGCAAAATCAACACACTAGGAAGGTGCTACGAAAGGTAGTGGTTTCCAAAGGACCAACTGGTCTGAGCTGTCTTTCTGGTTTGTTGAGCCTTAGAAATGAGTTTTCGTTCCCAAAAGTACTCCAATCTGGTTTTATCCAAGAAAGGAGATGCTAAGTTAATCCTTAGGTCAGTGGGTCACCAGGGTATCGTAAGAAAGGAGGTGTATTTCCCTGGAACCTTAGCCTTTGTTATTTATTTACTTATTCATTCTGTGCTGGGGAATGAACTCAGGGCTTCATATATGCTAGGTGAGTGCTGTACCAGTGAACCACATCTCCAGGTCCTCAAACACTATTTTTGAAGTTTTGTTTGTTTGTTTGTTGAGAAAGGGTCTCACTATGTAGGATTTTTTTTTTTTTTTTTGTCTTTTGAGACAGGGTCTCACTATGCAGTTCAGGCTGATCTTGAGTTCACTTTGTAGCCCAGGCTGGCCTCGAACTCTCTATGATCTTCCTGCTTCAAATCTCCTAAGTGCCAGGACTACAGGTGTGCCCCACCATGCCTGGATAGTCCTGGTTTTGTGGGAGGCTGAGACAGAAGGATCTCAGATTCCAAACTAGCCAGAACTCTGTATGAAGACTTTATCTCAAAAAATGAAGAAAGAAGGAAAGAGGTAAAGAATGAAATAAGAAAGGAAGAAGGAAAGAAGGAAAAGAGGAAAGAAAAACAATATGAATTCAAGGCTAGCCTGAACTGCACAGTGAGACCCTGTTTCCAAACAAACAAACAACAACAAAACACCCACGTGGATAACTGGCATTATAACCCTTCGTTACCAGAGCCAGTGTTGTTTTTGTTTTTTGTTTTGGTTTAGTTTTTTGAGACAGGGTCTCACTGTGTAGCCCAGGCTGGCTTTGAACTCACTCTGTAGCCCAAGCTGGCCTCGAACTCCAGGCAGTCCTCCTGCCTCAGCCTCTGGAGTTCCGGGACAGGCATGCCCCACCACGCCCAGCTTGCTATGGTTTATATCTTGACGTCCCACCAAAACCTCATGTGCTCATAGGTGGGGCTTTTGGGAGGTGATCGCGTCGTGAAAGTGTGCCCTTGCTCGGTGGAGTAACTCGCTGATGAGTTTGTAGCTCAATGGGATTTGGGAATCTGAAGCCCGCGTGCAGGGGGTGGGTCATTGTGGGCGTGGTCGGAAGGGTCTTCTGCCTCCTCCGCCGGCCCTGCTCGGCTTCCTACCTGGCCTGCCTTGCGCTCCACGGCCTCTGCGGAGCCCCTGTGCCAGCCGCCCCGCCTTAGTGCCAGCAGACTGGGACCGAGACCTCTACACACCGTGAGCCAGTAAAGCTTCCCTCCTTTATACCTCTGTTTTTTTTTTTTTTTTTTTTTTTGGTTTTTCTCCGGTACCGGGAACCGAACTCACGACCTTGCGCTTGCCAGACAGGCGCTTCTGCTGCTGAGCTAAATCCCCAGCCCCAACTTCCCTCCTTTAACCTCGGGTGTTGGGTATTGTGTTTCAGCCAGGAGAAAGTAGCTGAGACGCCCAGCTGGGGAGCGCTTCTGTGTCTGGCTTCTTCCACCCAGCAGAGCGCTTCTGGGGTTCATCTGCACTGCTGCCTCGGTACGGAGCCCGGTGCTCTGATTTGCGGGGTTCGCCGACTGCTCCCCCGCGTTCACGGGCTCCGCTGTGGCCCGACCCTGGGTTGTTGTTGGCGTGCGGCTGTGATGCTAAAGGCCTTTATGAGCGTCTGCTGCGGGTGCTGAGTTTATTTCCCCGACAAAATACAAGAGTAGGACTGCCTGGCCGCATGCGAAGCGCTTCACTGTCTGCAGGGGGTCGGAACGGTTTTCCAGAGTGGATGTACGATTTTGAATTTCTCACCAGGAATACATGAGCGTTAAAGTTGCTTGGTGTCAGGGCCAATATCTGACAGGGGAAGTCTTCAATATTTTGAGTATGAAGTGGTTTCTTTATTATCTTAATCTGCATTTCCTGATGACTAATAATCGCGAACATCTTGCCCTGTACTCATCTGCCATCTGCTTCTCCGTGAACTGTGCTTGGCTGTGTTTGTTTTATTTGGAATTTGTTCAGTTTCTTCGGTGGTTCGTAGTTTTCCTCGCAACTCATAAATATTCAGCTTTTTTTTTTTTCAAATGTAGAACCAATAGACCCCTCCTTTCTGAGACCAATTATACATGCGATTGCATATGTATTTTTAGGCTACTTTAGGTGGCTCTTTCAACTTTCCATATCTAGCCGGGCGTGGTGGCACACGCCTATAATCCCAGCGCTCGGGAGGCTGAGGCAGGAGGATTGTTGGGAGTTGGAGAACAGCCTGGGCTACAAAGTGAGCTCCAGGCCAGCCTGAACTGCACAGGGAGACCCTGTCTCAAAGAGACAAAACAAACAAACAAACAAATAAGAAAAAAACAAAAACAAAACAACTTTCCTTTTTTTTTCCCTTTCCATACCTTTTGTCTTCTAGTTTCATTTTGAGTAGTTTTGGTGCTTTTTCTCGGTTCTGGCAGCTGAACCTGGGCGTTCGAGCTGACCTCTATCCCTAGCCCATTTTTTTTTTTAATTGTTAATTGCCAAGACTGAGGTAGAATTTGTGATTCTCCTCCGTTGCCTCAGAGTGCTGGGATTATACGTGTGCACCACTACACCTGGCTTTGTCTTTTTTTTTTTTTTTTTTTTTTGAGGCAACATCTTGCCATATTGACCAGAATGGTTTTGAACTCTTTTTTTTTTTTTTCTTTTTCCTGTCTTTTTAAGACAGGGTCTTGCTATGCAATTCAGGCTGGCCTTGAGCTCACTTTGTAGCCCAGCATGGCCTCAAACTTGCAACAATCCTCCCGCCTCAGCCTCCCGAATGCTGGGATTACAGGCTTGTGCCATCACACCCGGCTGATTTTGAACTCTTGTCAAGTCATACTTTTCTGAATTTCTCAAGTGCTGGGACTACAGATGTGCCACCATTCCCTGGAGAAATATGATATTCAAAAATGTCCTAAGAAATATTTGTAAACTACATAGTTAAGAAAAGACTAGCTGGTGTGGTGGCACATGCCTATAATCCCAGCACTTGAGAGGCTGAGGCAGGAGGATTGCTGCAAGTTTGAGACCAACCTGGGCTACAAAGTGAGCTCAAGTCCAGCCTGAATTGCATAGTGAGACCCTGTCTCAAAAAGACAGAAAAAAAAAAGATTGTTATCTAGAAGAAAGAACTGAAGCCAGGCATCGTGGCCCAAGCCTATAATCCCAGAATTTGGGAGGTTAAAGTGGAAGGATCCAGTTTGAGGCCAGCCTGGGTTATGTGAGTCCAAAGTCAGCCAGGACCACATATGAAATCCTGTCTCAAAAGAAACTAAAGAAAAGCAGAACAGAAGGAATTCTAAAAATTTATTTAGTTTTTTTGTTCTTGTTTTGTTTTTTGGTCTTTTTAAATTTTTTTTTTTTTTCTTTGTCTTTTTGAGACAGGGTCTCTCTATGCAGTTCAGGCTGGACTTGAGTTCACCTTGTAGCCTGGGTTGGTCTCAAACTCACAACCATCTTCCTGCCTCAGCCTCCCAAGTACTGGGATTACAGGCGTGCACCACCATGCCTGGTTTCAAAGTTTAATACTAAACAAAATCCAGCTAGAAAATGAGCAAAGGACATAAGCACACAGAAATGACAAGCACCTGAAAAAATGGCCACTTTCATCACTCATTAGAGAAAGAAAAATTAAACTAAAGTGAAATATCAATGCATACCTATCAAAATGGCCAATACAAAAAAAAAAAAATAATGGCTGGGAGTAGTGGTGCATACTTGTGACCTCGGCTATGCACAGAGCACCCCAGCCCAAGCAAATTAGCAAGACCCTGTCTCAAAAGAAACAAACAAACAAAGAAAGGGTAGAGAATGTGGGTAGAGCACTTGCTTACCATGTATAAAGCCTAGGATTTAATTCCCACCTTTGAAAAAAACTACTTAAAATTAATTTTTGGTATCCTCAGGAGTCCTAAAACCAGTCCCTCCTCTATCTATGAGCAGAGATCCCCAAGATACTACTAAGTGTGCTACTGTCTGACGGAGACGGTGCTTCTCCCCAGGGACAGACATACTTGCCACAGGTGTGAGCAA